CAAGCAGTGTCTGGCAACCATAGAATTGTGCCCTAAAAGATTTAAACACGACAGAAACTCAAAATAGAAAATTCCTGGAAAATAAGAAAGGTCCTCAGTTGAAGTTAAACCACATAGGTGCCAGGGAACCCTCTCTGGGAGGCCATTCCATTTCTGCATTGTCAATCTAGAAACACCATTTTTCTTAGCCATACAGCTTACTTCATCTGGCAGGGTCACCTGGAGAAAGACCTCTAGCAATCATATTAGGGTTCAGGCAGGTATATATGGGAGATGATCCTTGAAATGATTTGGCTTCATGCCATTTAGGGGTGTGACTGGCTTGCAAAAAAGCTTGTTATAGAAAACATGCAATTCTTTCACAGTACCTCTAAGTATGTTTACTTCAAGGGAAGCCCTCTTCATTTTAAGAAAACTTATTTTTAATTAAGATCCTCTAAAACCTCAGTATGTGCTGATAGTTTAGTGGCTCTTAACTGGGCTTCGTTATTTGCTGATGACATTCATGTTGTTCCTTCTAGGTAAAAACAGCTGTTATTACAACAGAAAGGAATGGAAAACAAGAAAACAATACTATGAACATTAATGCTTCCATTTATGATGAGATCCAGCAGGAAATGAAGAGAGCTAAAGTGTCTCAAGCATTATTTGCAAAAGTTGCAGCAACCAAAAGCCAGGTAAGAGCCTTAACAGGCATCAGTGAACTAAATTTGCCATCCATGTTTTTCAAAATCTGTTCCAATAAGGAATCATAGTGGGGGCAGAGTCAGAATGAGATATAGGTACAATCTTTAAATATGTATGCTTATATAAATTGCAACAACAGTTAATTGAGCTCAATTTCAGTGGAGTTCAGGGTGCTTTCAGCACACTTAACATTCTCTGAATTTTGTCCTATTTATTGTAAAACCTCATGTTGCCAGCATTATTACTGAAAACTGCTATCCTCAAGACCAGAGAGGCACAATCCAAACTACTCTGGATATATCCATAGCAGAATATCCATAGAGAATGCTAAACCAACTTTAAACAGTGTGGTTAAAGATCTTGGCTTATAACTGTAGTTTCTCAGTTTTGTTGTATTGGGGAACTATAATGATCTGAAGAATTCCTGGCTGAATTTCAGCATGCCAAGGAAAGGGGCTGCACACACGGATACAAAGCTTGTTCATATCTTGGCTGCTATGTGGTAGTTGGAACCTTTGAGTGACTATGTTTGTATATAACACTAAACCATTCAATGGGTTTGATCGAGACTTATTCAAATCACGAGGCTAGTTCATATTGATTTTTGCTCTACTGCAGATTAGTTCTGTTCTACTTAAGTCCCATTAGGTTTGCTCTAATTCAAACCATTTTTTTAAACTGATTTGCTTTACCCTACACTCCAGAATTTTGGACATCCTCAGATTCATGCAAACATAATACTCAAAAATGACATGCATAGTTAAGATACTTTCCTAATCCGAACCTTGAGTTTGTCTTTATCATTGATAGAGTATACCCGGCTGATGCTTTCAGTGAGCGTTTGCTACCCCAGAATCTCACTTTTCGGTGTTTACAGACTATTTGTATCATTACCATCCCACAGATCAATAAGATTTAACTTGGTAATATGCATTGGAGTACCCTGTCAATGTGCATTTGTTTGCACTTGCATAACATCTCACATGCTGTTCAGTTGAGGAAATCAATTTAGAATCTTGAAATACCTGCACAGAATTTCACCTACTTGAATAATATGATCTGCAGCTTGTAAACTACAGTTACTGCTGTCTCCAGATCATTTGTGGATAAGTTAAATAGCATCACCATTGGGTTTTGTTTTGTTTTTTGTTTTTTTGGTAAGTCCTTGGGAAACTCTAGAGTTGCATCTTTCCATTATGTGAATTATCTTTATATTCATACCCTCTGTTTCCTGCTCTTAACCCGTTTCCTATTCAGAGAAAACCTGTTCTCTTATCTTATGTTTGCTGAGCTTCCTTAGACGGGATTTGGTCAAAAGTATACATAAATTCATTGCAGCATTTAGCAAGAAGGAACAAAATATGGTTAACAAAGACAAGTCTTAGTGATATGTAGTGACCAGAGCATCAGGCTAAGACCAGGGAGATCCAAGTTCAGACCCAGAACCCTACAAAAACCCAGAGGTTCTGGGAGGGTTTAAGTCAGCCCAACAATCCACCATGGCCAAATTCAGATAACACAAGAGTCCATGTCAGAAAGAGTGATTATGCAAATTAGGCTGGCATATAGGGTGCTTAGCAAACGACGGTGGCTTCTTAACCATCCTGCACTCATGTAAACTCATTCTACAATGGCTAGTGCATAGGTTCTAAGTGGTTTGTTACCCATGGCAACAAGCCAGCCTAGCCAGGTTCTGACAACATAACAAGCTGGAAAACATGAGAATTATGCTTATTCCACCTGCAAAGGCAAAAGGGAGAAGGCAGGAAATAAGATACCATGACTTATTTCTCCATTCTTAATTGTGCAAATTCAGCTGTACCAGGCATACTAAGCTTTTGAGGTTTCTACCATTCATCTATAAATTTAAATTTCCATCCCCTTGAATACAAGTGTATTTTCCTTTGCTACTTTAGTTTTTTGCTTGTGTGTTTGTTTGTTTTAATTACCTCTCATTAGATTGGATGCAATGGTTTGTCACCTTCTTGCTTCATTTCAAGGATATAAATCACTTAAATCATCATCCCAAAAACATTAACCCTCCCAAATTGGATGCTTTTCCTGAGCTTACTAGCATTGCCCAGAATCAGGTTCCATTAGAATTTAAGTGATATATGGCAACTCTGTATAGTTAATGTAAAATGTTTTCTTAAAACATGAAATTGTTTAGACATTTAGTGTGTAGAGTAGCCTTCATAATTCTTTGTCTGTACAGTTGTCAAGCAAAATACATGGATGATAACAGGAAGCAGAGGTATATTTATTGCTAGCAACCATGTTAGCATTCTTGGAAGACATAACTGAAGTAAGATTATATGCATGAAATTATGACGAAACAGGACAGTTAAATATAAAATTGATTTGAGAGGGAGATTATCCTTGGCCCCGAGTTCAGATAAGATTCACATCTCTATAATAGATCTGTTTCTTATAACTCCCTTAAAAGGGATTGTGTTTAAGGGGGTTGTATTTGAGTTCTTGCTACACTGTCAGAATAATGTGACCTCCCTTTATAAAGGGAGTATTTTGGAATCTGTTGTTGCAGTTTGCTTTGTTATTTAAGCTTCAACTTTAGAAATGTTTGCAGTTGGGAGTCACTCCATCTTTCATTATATAGAAAAGATGTTTCTTTTTAAAGTTATATGCTGTAAGGAATACTTAAAAGGATATTTTGGAAATGTTATATCAAAATGATTAAACTCAAGCTGTGGACTGTAAAAAATTATAGCTTTACAGGCCACATGCCTGCCTACCCTTCAATCACTGTCAAAGTGATAATTTCTGCAATAATATGTTTCTTTTATTGTAGGATTCTAAACACCAAGTGCTGTTTAAACATTAAACTGAATTGTTTATGTTAGCGCTGTACTCACTGTGTCATACATCAGGCCACTATAATCTCTCATGGAATGTAAAATTTTGTCATGAATCATGGCTTGTGTATCGGAAATTACTGTAATTTTGATTGGAAATTACAGGGCTCTTGAAATGTTTCTAATTATGATAGAATGTTAACAGCGACTTCAAACCTGTGTACTTCTTCAGATGTCTTTTATTTTCAACTGAAGGTTATGCATCAAGAAGGAATATCTGTTGTCAGCACCCCTCCATGTTACCCATCCATAGTGGGTTTCGCTTTAATAGAATATCATAGCAATGAAGTCACTGGGTTCTTTGCTGTCCTTGCATGTGTTGATATAAGTTTAAGTTGCCTTAAATTTTATTTGCACAGCAAAAGCTACATGAGACATCTCTTCTAATTCATTTTAAGCATAGATTGTTTTTGTATAATTTTATTTCTTAAAAAGAAAAGATCAGAGGGAATTACAGCAATTTTAAGAAAAGGGAAGTTTGCACATAACTGTAACCGATCAAGTTAACAAGAGCATCAAGAATAATTTATCACTGAACACATCTCTAGTCTTGCTTAGAAGTATACACGCCAATAGACTTCCTTTGAGTTACTACTTTCCTAAGAATATCAGAAAATATTCTTATATACATTTAAGAAAAAATGTTTGCTTCATATTGGAGGGTGCTTATGCAACATCCGTCATTATCATTTTAATTTTTAATTGCACTATTGCAGCTTCCATATGAAACTGATGGTTTTTAATTTCCAGGTATGGGCATGTGACCTTTGGGATCTCTAGTTCTTGCTGATATTTGCTTGTCTCTGTGATGTCAAACAATCAGCATTTGCTCTAGACATTTGAAGTTGCAATCCTATACAAATTTCCTGGCACTAAGCCATACTGTAAACAACAGGATTTTGCTACTGAGTAGATGGATATAGGATTACCGAGTAAGTGTCCTAATTATTATTTTTTAAATGTCAGTCTATAATGGAAGCCACACTTGAGCCTGCTGCTGAGGAAAAACTAAATACATGGTGGTATCTGAGCAACAAGAACCACTCATGTAAAATACAGTGCACTAGCATAGATGACCTCTAGCACGATGCCAATAAAGTTTGCTGGTGCAACAGGTTTTACAAGAAAATCTTATCAGGCAGACTATTGGCATTATAGCAGTGGCTAATTATGCTAGCACTGGGTAATTGGCTTTAGGATAATGTCATATTGGATACTGCCTAAGGAAGCCCAAGAATGTGCAGTAATCTCACATAAGTGTTCCTGGGAATAGTAGCCATGGTCATGAAGGAGCCCTCCAAAAGTCTTACACTCCACTGCATAATTGTTTCACCAACTGTATGCCCAGGCGATGAAAATTGCTTTGTCAACAAGATGAAACAAAAAAGCAAATAGTCTTTTGCGAGACAGTATTTGCAATAATGTTATGAATAAAAGGAACATGGTCCTTCCTTGAGATCAAGCATCATATTTCTAAGTATATAAGGAAGCAGAGTAAATCAAACAATTTTCACAATGTTTCCCAACAGCCAATAGTCATGTTCTTGCAGGAGCAATCTTCTATCTTTTTCTGCATTTTCGTTCTCACATGACATCATTTACACATTTAAGATTGTTACTGTTCAAGTGGTGAGTGCCTTCAGACCTTCCCACTGCCATGCACAATGTGTCATAAAGTCTATAAATCTGCAAGGATATTTTTCTTCCTTGTGACATTGGGATACAGTGGATGCTAAATGGGACCAGAATGCACAACAATTTAAAAGGCAGCCTGTGGTTTAGGCAAAGCTAATGCAGATTTTCATTTTTACTGTATGGTACTGCCATCACTAGAAACAGCTGTTGTTTGGCGATTTGAGGAGCACAGTATATGGCCCTGCCATTTCACGAAAAAAAGATCCTCATTACCTAGTTAATATCATGATATTGCTTAAATTACACGCGTATTTATTTCCTGGTATGAATGTTCAATTGTATTTTTATGTTTCCATGAAGAACTATTCATCTGGCAGATCATATTGGATAATCATGAAAAAAATTAGATTGGCTATCATAGCTTTGATTTATTTGTTGTATCACAATAATATACCTCCTTGTATTAGTTTATACACCAAATG